TTCCTTTTTTTTTTTTTTTATTTTTATTTCGACATTTTTCCAACAAATAATAATAATAATTATACATTAATTAAGAGTACTTTTACCTACTAATAATTAGAATTAAATTTATCATTTTTCCTTATATTATTCAATAAATATTTACAATGTTTACTATCACTTATGATTTAACAATAATATATTTAACAAATAGACAACGGAAAAAAAAAAAAAAAAAAAAAACAATATGTGAAATGTTAAATTTAATAGCAGGCAAAAGGTTGGTGGTACTTGATATATCAGCAAGTTAATAAGAGAGAATAAGAGGTTTTCAGCGGTTGTTTATTTGCTCCATCACATCAGTATGTAGATACTACAGAGTACAAGAGAGGGATGGGCCAATTTGGATGGTTACCAAGGCAAACGATACGTTAAATAGATAGCAGACAGCAGTAGCAGTAGCAGCAACAGCAACAGCAACAGCAAAAGCAGAAGCACAACCACAACCAGAGGCAATATCCACGGTTAGGTGGGGACTGCGAGGAAACTGGCATAATGAGGACCACCCGCTAGCTATATATGCTATATCCTATATCCTATATCCTATATGCTATGTGTCGCTACTCTAACTCACTATAATCCTATATATGTAAAATTAATAATATTACAAAATTTGCAAATAAAAATATAATAAAAAATAAAGGAGTGAGGAGTGAAGAGTGAAGAGTAAGATGAGAGTAAGAGTAAGAGTGGTTAATTATCATCAGCATCAGTCTGGTATATTGAGCATGAAAACCGTATATTTATTTCGGTGAAGCGAGATTTAAGTCAAATTGCCGTTAAAATTGCAATCACGGTGGTCCAACATTCATATACTTTGCTTCGTTTATTCCTCTAATTCTCTATATATTCACTATTATTATTATTATTATTTTCTATAATAATGAGAATAAGCATCGATGAAGGAAAAGGCATGTATCCTATATCCTATATATGTGTAGGAATTATTTAAATTAACTAAAGAGGGTGACAACTATACACGTACATATATATATATATATATATATATTTATATGTTATAATAAATCCAAAAACGGTGAAAATATAGAGGGTGCTATAGCAAAACAAAGTCGGCATCAATATATAATCACAATAACAATAATAACAATAGTGTATACTGTGTGTAACAGAGACAAAGTATAAAATCGATATTTTAATTGGACAAAATAATTGGAACGAACGAATGGAAGATGGTAATCTCTTATTCGAACTGCCCGTTTGTATCAGTAAAAGTAAACGCGTACACTCTCATCTCTTTCTCCCTTCCCCTTCCGATTTCTCTTCTTTTTTTTTTTTATTTTTTTTTTTTTCATTTTCCTACTAGCTCCTATTGTTGTTGTTGTTGTTGTTGCTATATCCTTATCTTTTAAATGCTATTTATTTATATACAAATATTTTACTTTTTTTAAATTATAATAGGCCCTCTGACACATGTTTGAAAGAATTTTTTTTTTGCAACAATATATAAAGCCAGTTTTTGGTTAATTAAATATAACTTACATTCTTTAAGCTTCTTAAATATATAAACCTTTTTTATCTATTAAAATAAATAAATATTTTTATTATTACTATTATTCGAGATTATTTAATAACCGGATAAATTATTAACAATAAAAATTTGTATAGTATCAGTAAGGGTAAGTACAATAAAACATTATCTGTTGTGTTATTTAATTTTAACAAAATAATTAATGAATGGATATTGTAGAATCTGACATCTAAGCGCCACTGCTGTCGTAGTTATAAGCCCATAACTTGTTAAAACTTATAACATATGTACTGTAAAATATAGGTATATAATATACCCAAAGATATGTGTAAGACAAAGAACATAGAAAAAAAAATTTATGTATATATCTAATGTACATATGTATTTTTGAATGTAAGTGTAAGCAAGTAGAACGTCTCGACGACACCTCAAACACGTGCGCGCCATGCGTGGCTAGTTAAGTGCTCAAAAGACTAAACGACTGAAAGACTGTGAAAGACAGAAAGACTCATCTCGAGGCGCCTTTTGACAATCCCGATACCGGGATTTAAACACAGTTAAAACTTCCTTCTTATATAATATAATATAATATAATATAATACCTTTTTTTTTCTTAATTTTTAAAATAATTTTAAATGCCTACACAATTACTTAATTAAACAATTCGATAACTTAATGTGTTCTGATGACTATTTTTATTTGCTGACAATGATCTAGTACGTCGCGTCGCGTATTACATATGTATATGTAAAATAGAATTAAGAAAACGTGTGTAAAGCACTTAGTGTGGTGTCTCTCTTCTGCTTTTGTTTCTTTCATCTTCTACTTTTCACAGTTTAATTTTATTTTTTCACTTTCTTTTGTTTTTTTTTTTTTTTTCTTCCAGGCATTACTTAGCCGAGATTTATAGTTTGTTTAGATAGCTTCTTGTCACTATAGATTAAAGTGCTAAATAAAAATGCCACAAAGTTACAAATTAAAGTGAATATGCAATTATTATTCCCTTTTATTTATTATGCGATTTATCTACAGTATAAGATTCAATAACTATATATTTTATAATTGATTACTCCACTTTCTTTTAATCTTTCCTATAACATAAAATGAATAAAAGGCAAGAATAATAATATATAATATGAG